CGGAAGCATCTATTGTTGAAAGCTATGTTGCTGAGGAGGTTACTGAGTTTTGTACTGAATATTTGGCAGGAGTTGAGTCTATTGGAGTTTCTAAGAATCGGCATGAAGGAAGAATTACTGGGAAGGGTACTCGAGGAGTCAAAGTGAATGTTATGCCTCGTGAAGATGTTGACCAGGCACACTTGTACATCTTGCATAATACAAGTGAAGTCGAACCGTATTTAGATGAACACAAGGCGTTGATTAGGGAGCAAAATCCAAAAAGGAGAGACATGTGGATTGTGGGTGAACATAATCGAACTTTTATCAGTTGGTTCAAAAATAAAGTTCTTAAAGAGAATAATGTTTCTGAAACTGTTTCATGGTTAGCACATGGTCCTGGTTTGGATGTCTTATGTCATAATGGATATGACATTAATGGGTTTTCATTTTATACAAAAGCTCAAGATGAAAAGAGCACTATGCAAAATAGTGGAGTTACTTTGGTTGCAAATTCAATGCCTTTTAGTAGTTCGAAAGGTCCAAATCCCGTGTTTGCAGAGTTGTCATATTATGGTGTGATTGAAGAAATATGGGAAGTTGATTATGTTTCATTTAGGGTCCCGGTGTTTCGATGTAGATGGGTAGATAATAAACATGGTGTAAAAGTTGATGAGTTAGGATTTACCCTTGTAGATTTTAATCGGGAAGGACACAAAAATGAGCAGTTTATAATGACATCCCAAGCAAAACAAGTCTTTTATGTTAGTGATCCTTGTGACAAAAAATGGTCCATTGTTCTTCATGGAAAGAGACAAATTGTTGTAGATGAGAATGAAGATGTTAGTTTTGATATTGAGGAAATACCACCATTTTCGTCAAGTTTATTGCCCCCAGTTATTCATAATGAGATAGATGAAGTGCATGCATCACGAGATGATCATCGTGAAGGGATATGGGAGAATTGATTATTATATGTAATGCTTTAATTAGGTATTTATTCTGTTTTTATATTTTCTTATTCTAATATTTCTATATATTCTAATATTTTTTCTTTCTAAACAGGCGTACGGATTCCACAGATGGTGGTGGTACTACAGAAGGTACTCATAGTACTCAAAGTAGTACTACTAAGAAGAGGGGTGCCACTCGTATGCAAAAAATCATTAAGTAACATAATTTTGGGAAACTATAAATTGAGCTTGATGGATTCGAGTCTGTCTATGGGAAAGCTGACATTGAATTTAAAAGTTATGTTGGATTAGTGGGACGAATCAATACTCCTATCACAATAAAAGAATGATCGGATGTCCGAGAAGATACTAAAGCTACTATTTGGAAAGAAATCCTGGTAAGCTAGATTTAGATTTATTCAAAATGTTAATATAATTACATTTCTTACTAATAAATAATGTTGTTTTGTAGAGTACTTATGATATTCCCGACACCATTGATATGAAGAGACATTGGTTAAGCTATGTGAATGACCGGTGGAGAGATTTCAAAACAAAATTGACGAACAAGTATATATACGGTTGCTATGCAGGTCAGAACCCTTGTGAAACATACGACTTCCTTGAACAAGAGACATGGATTGAGTTTTATCAGTCGCATACAGGTGAATCATATGAGGTATCATTATTATTCTATCAATATTTTGAAAAAGGGATACGGAATGATGTATCATATGATTAATATTTTGTATGTATGTAGCCAACAAGGAAAAAATATCAAGACATACAGGCTAAGAATATTCATCCACATCTTTTAGCTCGAGGAGGTTATAAATGGTTGGAGAAGATGATGATGGACGAGAATTTGAAACAACAACAAGCATGTGCTGATGCAGATCCGTCGTATACAATGACTCCTCTAAGTCCCATAAGTAGAGCCGAAAAATGGAAGAAAGCAAGAATGTACAAGTCAGGAAATTATCGTACTGATTCAACTAGATTGGTGGCGGAAAAAATTGTAAGTACATATCTTGTCATACTACAGTAATAGTAATTATTATTGAATAATTTTTATATATGTTAGGATGATCTTGAGTTGCAAATTTCTCAAGGAGAATTTTTTGGGGATGGAAGAAAGGATTCATTGACTGTTGCATTGGGTACCGATGAGCATTGTGGACGTGTTAGAGCCATGGGAAGAGGACATGGCATCAAAAGTGTATTTGGCCATGCAAAACGTCGCCAAAAGACTCCACAAGATGTTCAACAAATCGTTGATGCTGCTGTTGCAGTAGCGTTAGAAAAACAAAAGCAGGAAAATATTTCTGAACGGGAAGAATTTGGTCAACGATTAACATAGCAATTTGAGGCAAAAATAGCTAGTATGATGTTGCAATTTAAAGCTATGCAGACTCCTTTACAACCAAAGCAGGTGGATGACGTATGTGTGGATACTGTGCCATCACCTCCAAGTGACAAAGCTAGTTCCCCAGACCCTTTTAGTAATTTACCGGCTGTAAGTATTCGTTTATAGTTATCTTATTATTATTTATCAATAAAATTTTATATGATTTTTAATTAAAAATTATTGTAGTTAGGGGCACGATGTCAATTGTTCTTAGAAGATCCAATTAGACGTACAGTGGCATATGGGACAGCTTACAGTGGTGGACAAGTTCATGGGGTTGTACTGGATGTAAATAATGTGAAAGTGAGTGTAAATCAAGTTCGTGATCCAACTGCACGTGTACCATTCCCCACCAGTGAGGTTCAACTTGTAAGTGATGCAATGGAACACTTTATCATTTGGCCAAAGAAGCTGGTAGTGTTGTTCCATATTCTTTGACTGCTGATTGCAAAAAGGCTTTTACAATAGCTCGCCGTTTTGAACAGAATCTTGTGATCCATGTGGCTCATGGTATTATGGGCAAGATTGATTATGACTTGCACCTTGAAAGTGTGGAGATAATGCGTTTCTTAAGTATGGACACCATCGATGTTTCTCTAGTTCAGTTCTTTATATAATTGGTAATCTATGTATAATTATATTGGATGTGTTTGTGAATAGGGGTATTTACATCAATTTTGAGTTGGCATCAAAAGACACGTATGACATCCTAGATCCATATTGGATTCAACCAAAAATGAATAATACAGAAGAAAGGAAATCATATATAAGTGCCACCATGCAGTATGAGAAGAAAAATGTATATTTAGCCCCATACGTTCTCAAGTAAGTTTTAATTACGTTTTAAATTAAAGTGCTTATATATAATATATTTTTATTATATATTATATTTACTTATTTACTTATAACTAATAAATTACTTATTTGTAGTGAGCATTAGATGCTGATGGCGATTTCTCCTAGATTAAATGAAATTTTTTGGTTTGATTCACTTGGTCATGGGCAAACATATAATGAGAACGTATGTATATTTATATAATGAATTAATAGTTATTATTAAACTAGTGATGCCAAATATTTACATATATTTTATGTCTTATATGAATAGGTGTATGGCTGCAACAAGCATGATGAGTGGAAAGAAACAATCTCGTCCACCGAAATGGACTACATGTTTGGTAAGTACTTCTTTCACTTTGTAAAACATGCAAACGTATTGTTTTTTATTACTTTTAGCTAATTTTATTGTAATTCAAATGTAGTGTCCTATACAAAAAGGAAGCACCAAATGTGGTTATTATGTGATGAAATTCATGTGGAAAATTGTTTCCAACAACCTAAGCAAAGGAATGGATAAGGCAAGTAATTTAATAATACATATTTCTTCTTCAAATGTTGTTTAAAATATTTGCTTATTTATTATTTTTATTTTTTTTGAACTTTGTAGATTTTGGAAAGACAAGGAAGATTGCCCTACAACAAACAAGAGATTGATGACGTCAGAAACAAGTGGTCGAAGTTTCTTATTGATGAATGGGTTAATAAAACGTTGCTCAATTCATACTACATTATGTTTAAAACTACTTTGTGTTTATTGGGTTGATGTTAATTAGTAGTTTTGTTGCTTGAATTAGTTGATGTTGATTGTGTTTATAGTAGTTTATGTAGATTGTGTTATTTATATTAATATTATATTATTTTTAGTAGCTTAATTAGTTTCATGTTTAGTACGTAGCTTGAATTATTTGATGTTGATGTTGAATGTAACTAGCTGCACAGGTTCTGATTGATACAGCACGTTGGGCTAGAAAGCATCAAACATTTTTAATATATAAAAAAAATAGACACATACGACGTCGACTAATATCCTATTAGCCAACGTCTTATAATTATATATTATTTAAAATAATGATACGACGTCGGCTAATAGGCTACTAGCCGATGTCGTATCATTATTATTTTTTTTTAAATACATACGACGTTGGCTAATAGACTATTAGCCGACGTCGTATCATTATTATTTTTTTTTAAATACATATGAAGTCGGCTAAAAAGATGAGGTGCATTGGACTTCGTGGCCCAATGGAAAAGGTGCTAGTTTACAAAACCAGAGGTTCTAGGTTTAATCCCCAATGGAGTCGTAATTTAAACACTTCTTGCACCACACCTTTGTAACCCAAGAATTCATAAAAAATTCAAGTATTTATTTGTTTTAAAATTCAGAAGTAAAGCATCAAATCAACATTACTACATTAAAATACTCACACACAATGTGACAAAAATGATGATTTTTTTTCTTTAGGAATGGGATGTTGATAAAAGCAAACTATTTTAATCTTAGACAAAATCTGGAGTGGTTAATAAAAGCAAATTATACTAATCTTAGACAAAATCTGGAGGTGGTTAACCTGTTTGTGGCTGGAATATGTAAGTTCTGGATGGGTAGTCAGCATTTGGCAGAGCAAGACTTTTTTGCAAATATCTTATTGAACTTCTTAGCTATTGTCCAAATCCAAATGTCTGGTTTAGCATGCTCCATAAACAACCTTTTTTGAAAATAGACCTCTTCTAAATCAACATCTCAGGCCATAGTAGTTCACCCATCATTATTTGAAAAATACCTTTCTAAATATCATCTCTTATGCTAACTTTTGCCTATTTTCTTGTAGATATCGCTACTGAAGCACACAACATTGTTGCAGAAAGCTGAGTGAAATTCGTCAGATTGAGCAGTGAGGTGTTGTACTTGTTCTCTTATAATATCTCTGCCATTAGCATTAGCGGTGTTGTACTTGTTCCAGGGCTCAGATTCTCATCTCTGAAAATCGAATTATCTTTCTTGTCTATCAGGATAGATTCAACATTTTCCGCGATCCTATTTCTACTTCTCCTTTTACTTGTATCTATCTTCATTTCCTTTTCAACTAAGGGTATTGACATTGGAACGAATTTAAGCCATCCAAGAGGCAGCAGCGCATCAAGAAATTGGATGATACTATCCCAACCGACATACTTGTGTAATCTATTTCACAACTTTGTTGAGTAAAGAAATCCAATATTATCATTAACTAAACCTTTCAAATAAAAAAAAAAAAGAATGGAATTTTGCTTGCTTTGTAAACTAAAAATCTCATGTTCTGAATCTGCAAACAACCTTTCTTGTGACAAGAGGAAACTAAAAGCCGGTTAACTTTAATTTATGCCCCTCTTCTATCAGACAAGCATGTTGGAAAATAATGAACCAAGTCGATTTACGAAAATAATATATATATATATATATATATATATATATATATATACTCACAGGAGAGAGAACATCTATGCTATACAATTCAATAAGTCTATAAAAGACGCTTGTACAAATAGTGGTGCAAATCTACTTCCCAAATCAATGTGGGACAAAATCTCACCTTTTTCCCTTCATTTTTCCAACTCGATCAATGGGTCTACTTTGAGAATCAATATATCATTCACCCATTATCTATTTTGAGTGTACAATATATCAATCTCTTCGTCTCACTACGAAGAACCCGAATCCACTTTGACAAGACCCAAATCGGAAGTGGACCCCACTGATAATTGTACAACAAAATAGCCACTTAAAATGCAATTTTTCCAACAGATTAAAGCATTTGCTTATTGAAGTTCTGATTATCAACATAAATGCAATTAACAAAATTTTTTGTAGAAGTTATAGATGGAAAAATGTCCAATTTACCATTTAAGGGTCTTTAAATCAGTGGTAGAGCATTTGATTGCAGATCAAAAGGTCACCGGTTCAAACTCGGTAGGGCCCTTATGTTGTTCCTAATATTAATTTTATTTATTTATTTTTTAATTTTAAATCATAAAAACACAACACTCCCTGGCCCAATGAATAAGTTCTACAAACGTTTAAAGATATTAATGTTTAAATTTAATTGCAAAAGCATTGGACTTCGTGGCCCAATGGATAAGGCGTTGGTCTACGAAACCAGAGATTCTGGGTCCGATCCCCAGCGGAGTTTTAATTTAAACATTTCTTGCACCACATATTAGTAAGCCAAGAATTCATAAAAAATTCAAGTATTTTATTTGTTTTAAAATTCAGAAGTAAAGCATCAAATCAACATCACTACATTAAAATACTCACACACAATGTGACAAAAATGATGATTTTTTTTTTCTTTAGGAATGGGATGTTGATAAAAGCAAACAATTTTAATCTTAGACAAAATCTGGAGTGGTTAATGAAAGCAAATTATACTAATCTTAGACAAAATCTGGAGGTGGTTAACCTGTTTGTGCCTGGAATATGTATGTTCTGGGTGGGTAGTCAGCATTTGGAAGAGCAAGACTTTTTTGCAAATATCTTATTGAACTTCTTAGCTATTGTCCAAATCCAAATGTCTGGTTTAGCATGCACCATAAACCAACTTTTCTGAAAATAGACCTCTTCTAAATCAGCATCTCAGGCCATAGTAGTTCACCCATCATTGTTTGAAAAATACCTTTCTAGATATCATCTCTTATGCTAACTTTTGCCCATTTTCTTGTAGATATCGCTACTGAAGCGCACAGCATTGTTGCAGAAAGCTGAGTGAAATTCGTCAGATTGAGCAGTGAGGTGTTGTACTTGTTCTCTTATAATATCTCTGCCATTAGCATTAGCGGTGTTGTACTTGTTCCAGGGATCAGATTCTCATCTCTGAAAATCGGATTGTCTTTCTTGTCTATCAGGATAGATACAACTTTTTTCGCCATCCTATTTCTACTTTTCCTTTTACTTGTATCTATCTTCATTTCCTTTTCAACTAAGGGTAGTGACATTGGCACGAATTTAAGCCATCCAAGAGGCAGCAGCGCATCAAGAAATTGGATGATACTATCCCAACCGACATACTTGTGTAATCTATTTCACAACTTTGTTGAGTAACGAAATCCAATATTATCATTAACTAAACCTTTCATATAAAAAAAAGGAATGGAATTTTGCTTGCTTTGTAAACTAAAAATCTCATGTTCCGAATCTGCAAACAACCTTTCTTGTGACAAGAGGAAACTAAACGCTGCGGTTAACTTTAATGTATGCCCCTCTTCTATTAGACAAGCATGTTGGAAAATAATAAACCAAGTCGATTTACGAAAATAATATATATATATATATACTCACAGGAGAGAGAACATCTATGCTATACAATTCATTAAGGCTATAAAAGACCCTTGTATAAATAGTGGTGCAAATCTACTTCCCAAATCAATGTGGGACAAAATCTCATCTTTTTCCCTTCATTTTTCCAACTCGATCAATGGGTCTACTTTGAGAATCAATATATCATTCACCCATTATCCGTTTTGAGTGTACAATATATCAATCTCTTCATCTCACTACGAAGAACCTGAATCCACTTTGACAAGACCCAAATCGGAAGTGGACCCCACTGATAATTGTACTACAAAATAGCCACTTAAAATGCAATTTTTCCAACAGATTAAAGCATTTGCTTATTGAAGTTCTGATTATCAACATAAATGCAATTAACTAAATTTTTTGTAGAAGTCATATATGGAAAAATGTCCAATTTAGCATTTAAGGGTCTTTAGCTCAGTGGTAGAGCATTTGACAGAAGATCAAGAGGTCACCGGTTCAAACTCGGTAGGGCCCTAATGTTGTTCCTCATATTAATTTTATTTATTTATTTTTTAATTTTAAATCATAAAAACACAGCACTCCTTGGCCCAATGAATAAGTTATACAAACGTTTAAAGATATTAATGTTTAAATTTAATTACAAAAACATTGGATTTCGTGGCCCAATGGATAAGGTGCTGGTCTACGAAACTAGAGATTTTGGGTTCGATCCCCAGCGGAGTCGTAATTTAAACATTTCTTTCACCACATCTTTGTAGGCCAAGAATTCATAAAAAATTCAGGTATTTATTTGTTTTAAAATTCTGAAGTAAAGCATCAAATCAACATTACTACATTAAAATACTCACACAGAATGTGACAAAAATGATGATTTTTTTTTCTTTAGGAATGGGATGTGGATAAAAGCAAACTATTTTAATCTTAGACAAAATCTGGAGTGGTTAATAAAAGCAAACTATACTAATCTTAGACAAAATCTGGAGGTGGTTAACCTGTTTGTGGCTGGAATATGTAAGTTCTGGGTGGGTAGTCAGCATTTGGCAGAGCAAGACTTTTTTTGCAAATATCTTATTGAACTTCTTAGCTATTGTCCAAATCCAAATGTCTGGTTTAGCATGCACCATAAACCAACTTTTCTGAAAATAGACCTCATCTAAATCAGCATCTCAGGCCAGAGTAGTTCACCCATCATTGTTTGAAAAATACCTTTCTAAATATCATCTCTTATGCTAACTTTTGCCCATTTTCTTGTAGATATCGCTACTGAAGCACACAACATTGTTGCAGAATGCTGAGTGAAATTCGTCAGATTGAGCAGTGAGGTGTTGTACTTGTTCTCTTATAATATCTCTACCATTAGCATTAGCGGTGTTGTATTTGTTCCAGGGCTCAGATTCTCATCTCTGAAAATCGGATTGTCTTTCTTGTCTATCAGGATAGATACAACTTTTTCCGCCATCCTATTTCTACTTCTCCTTTTACATGTATCTATCTTCATTTCCTTTTCAACTAAGGGTAGTGACATTGGCACGAATTTAAGCCATCCAAGAGGCAGCAGCGCATCAAGAAATTGGATGGTACTATCCCAATCGACATACTTGTGTAATCTATTTCACAACTTTGTTGAGTAAAGAAATCCAATATTATCATTAACTAAACCTTTCAAATAAAAAAAAAAAAAAGGAATGGAATTTTGCTTGCTTTGTAAAATAAAAATCTCATGTTCCAAATCTGCAAACAACCTTTCTTGTGACAAGAGGAAACTAAAAGTTGCGGTTAACTTTAATTTATTCCCCTCTTCTATTAGACAAGCAAGTTGGAAAATAATGAACCAAGTCGATTTACGAAAATAACATATATATATATATATATATATATATATATATATATATATATATATATACTCACAGGAGAGAGAACATCTATGCTATACAATTCAATAAGCCTCTAAAAGACCCTTGTATAAATAGTGGTGCAAATCAACTTCCCAAATCAATGTGGGACAAAATCTCATCTTTTTCCCTTCATTTTTCCAACTCGATCAATGGGTCTACTTTGAGAATCAATATGTCATTCACCCATTATCCGTTTTGAGTGTACAATATATCAATCTCTTCGTCTCACTACGAAGAACCCGAATCCACTTTGACAAGACCCAAATCGGAAGTGGACCCCACTGATAATTGTACAACAAAATAGCCACTTAGAATGCAATTTTTCCAACAGATTAAAGCATTTGCTTATTGAAGTTCTGATTATCAACATAAATGCAATTAACTAAATTTTTTGTAGAAGTTATAGATGGAAAAATGTCCAATTTAGCATCTAAGGGTCTTTAGCTCAGTGGCAGAGCATTTGACTGCAGATCATGAGGTCACAGATTCAAACTCGGTAGGGCCCTTATGTTGTTCCTAATATTAATTTTATTTATTTATTTTTTTAATTTTAAATCATAAAAACACAACACTCCTTGGCCCAATGAATAAGTTCTACAAACGTTTAAAGATATTAATGTTTAAATTTAATTGCATAAGGATTGGATTTCGTGGCCCAATGGATAAGGCGTTGGTCTATGAAACCAGAGATTCCGGGTTCGATCCCCAGCGGAGTTGTAATTTAAACATTTCTTTCACCACATCTTTGTAGGCCAAGAATTCATAAAAAATTCAAGTATTTATTTGTTTTAAAATTCAGAAGTAAAGCATCAAATCAACATTACTACATTAAAATACTCACACACAATGTGACAAAAATGATGAATTTTTTTTCTTTAGGAATGGGATGTTGATAAAAGCAAACTATTTTAATCTTAGACAAAATCTGGAGTGGTTAATAAAAGCAAATTATACTAATCTTAGACAAAATCTGGAGGTGGTTAACCTGTTTGTGGCTGGAATATGTAAGTTCTGGGTGGGTAGTCAGCATTTGGCAGACCAAGACTTTTTTGCAAATATCTTATTGAACTTCTTAGCTATTGTCCAAATCCAAATGTCTGGTTTAGCATGCACCATAAACCAACTTTTCTAAAAATAGACCTCTTCTAAATCAACATCTCAGGCCATAGTAGTTCACGAATCATTATTTGAAAAATACCTTTCTAAATATCATCTCTTATGCTAACTTTTGCCTATTTTCTTGTAGATATCGCAACTGAAGCACACAACATTATTGCAGAAAGCTGAGTGAAATTCATCAGATTGAGCAGTGAGGTGCTGTATTTGTTCACTTATAATATCTCTGCCATTAGCATTAGCGGTGTTGTACATGTTCCAGGGCTCAGATTCTCATCTCTGAAAATCGGATTGTCTTTCTTGTCTATCAGGATAGAAACAACTTTTTCCGCCATCCTATTTCTACTTCTCCTTTTACTTGTATCTATCTTCATTTCCTTTTCAACTAAGGGTAGTGACATTGGCACGAATTTATGCCATCCAAGAGGCAGGAGCGCATCAAGAAATTGGATGGTACTATCCCAACCGACATACTTGTGTAATCTATTTCACAACTTTGTTGAGTAAAGAAATCCAATATTATCATTAACTAAACCTTTCAAATAAAAAAAAGGAATGGAATTTTGCTTGCTTTGTAAACTAAAAATCTCATGTTCCTAATCTGCAAACAACCTTTCTTGCGACAAGAGGGAACTAAAAGCTGCAGTTAACTTTAATTTATGCCCCATGTTCTATTAGACAAGCATGTTGGAAAACTAATGAACCAAGTCGATTTACGAAAATAATATAATATATATATATATATATATATATATATATATATATATACTCACAGGAGAGAGAACATCTATGTTATACAATTCAATAAGCCAATAAAAGACCCTTGTATAAATAGTGGTGCAAATCTACTTCCCAAATCAATGTGGGACAAAATCTCATCTTTTTCCATTCATTTTTCCAACTCGATCAATGGGTCTACTTTGACAATCAATATATCATTCACCCATTATCCGTTTTGAGTGTACAATATATCAATCTCTTCGTCTCACTAGGAAGAACCCGAATCCACTTTGACAAGACCCAAATCGGAAGTGGACCCCACTGATAATTGTACAACAAAATAGCCACTTAGAATGCAATTTTTCCAACAGATTAAAGCATTTGCTTATTGAAGTTCTGATTATCAACATAAATGCAATTAACTAAATTTTTTGTAGAAGTTCTAGATGGAAGAATGTCCAATTTTGCATCTAAGGGTCTTTAGCTCAGTGGCAGAGCATTTGACTGCAGATCAAGAGGTCACCGATTCAAACTCGGTAGGGCCCTTATGTTGTTCCTAATATTAATTTTATTTATTTATTTTTTTAATTTTAAATCATAAAAACACAACACTCCTTGGCCCAATGAATAAGTTCTACAAACGTTTATAGATATTAATGTTTAAATTTAATTGCATAAGGATTGGATTTCGTGGCCCAATGGATAAGGCGTTGGTCTACGAAACCGGAGATTCTGGGTTCGATCCCCAGCGGAGTTGTAATTTAAACATTTCTTTCATTTGTAGGCCAAGAATTCATAAAAAATTCAAGTATTTATTTGTTTTAAAATTCAGAAGTAAAGCATCAAATCAACATTTCTACATTAAAATACTCACACACAATGTGACAAAAATGATGATTTTTTTTTTCTTTAGGAATGGGATGTTGATAAAAGCAAACTATTTTAATCTTAGACAAAATCTGGAGTGGTTAATAAAAGCAAATTATACTAATCTTAGACAAAATTTGGAGGTGGTTAACCTGTTTGTGGCTGGAATATGTAAGTTCTGGGTGGGTAGTCAGCATTTGGCAGAGCAAGACTTTTTTGCAAATATCTTATTGAACTTCTTAGCTATTGTCCAAATCCAAATGTCTGGTTTAGCATGCACCATAAACCAACTTTTCTAAATATAGACCTCTTCTAAATCAACATCTCAGGCCATAGTAGTTCACGAATCATTATTTGAAAAATACCTTTCTAAATATCATCTCTTATGCTAACTTTTGCCTATTTTCTTGTAGATATCGCAACTGAAGCACACAACATTATTGCAGAAAGCTGAGTGAAATTCATCAGATTGAGCAGTGAGGTGTTGTATTTGTTCACTTATAATATCTCTGCCATTAGCATTAGCGGTGTTGTACATGTTCCAGGGCTCAGATTCTCATCTCTGAAAATCGGATTGTTTTTCTTGTCTATCAGGATAGAAACAACTTTTTCTGCCATCCTATTTCTACTTCTCATTTTACTTGTATCTATCCTCATTTCCTTTTTAACTAAGGGTAGTGACATTGGCACGAATTTATGCCATCCAAGAGGCAGGAGCGCATCAAGAAATTGGATGGTACTATCCCAACCGACATACTTGTGTAATCTATCTCACAACTTTGTTGAGTAAAGAAATCCAATATTATCATTAACTAAACTTTTCAAATAAAAAAAAAGGAATGGAATTTTGCTTGCTTTGTAAACTAAAAATCTCATGTTCCTAATTTGCAAACAACCTTTCTTGCGACAAGAGGAAACTAAAAGCTGCGGTTAACTTTAATTTATGCCCCTGTTCTATTAGACAAGCATGTTGGAAAACTAATGAACCAAGTCGATTTACGAAAATAATATAATATATATATATATATACATATATATATATATATATATATATATATATATATATATACTCACAGGAGAGAAAACATCTATGTTTTACAATTCAATAAGCCAATAAAAGACCCTTGTATAAATAGTGGTGCAAATCTACTTCCCAAATCAATGTGGGACAAAATCTCATCTTTTTCCCTTCATTTTTCCAACTCGATCAATGGGTCTACTTTGAGAATCAATATATCATTCACCCATTTTCCGTTTTGAGTGTACAATATATCAATCTCTTCGTCTCACTAGGAACAACCCGAATCCACTTTGACAAGACCCAAATCGGAAGTGGACCCTACTGATAATTGTACAACAAAATAGCCACTTAGAATGCAATGTTTCCAACAGATTAAAGCATTTGCTTATTGAAGTTCTGATTATCAACATAAATGCAATTAACTAAATTTTTTGTAGAAGTTATAGATGGAAAAATGTCCAATTTTGCATCTAAGGGTCTTTAGCTCAGTGGCAGAGCATTTGACTGCAGATCAAGAGGTCACCGGTTCAAACTCGGTAGGGCCCTTATGTTGTTCCTAATATTAATTTTCTTTATTTATTTTTTAATTTTAAATCATAAAAACACAACACTCCCTGGCCCAATGAATAAGTTCTACAAACGTTTAAAGATATTAATGTTTAAATTTAATTACAAAAGCATTGGACTTCGTGGCCCAATGGATAAGGCGCTGGTCTACGAAACTAGAGGTTCTGGATTCGATCCCCAGTGGAGTCGTAATTTAAACATTTCTTTCACCACATCTTTGTAGGCCAAGAATTATTTGTTTTAAAATTCAGAAGTAAAGCATCAAATCAACATTACTACATTAAAATAGTCACACACAATGTGACAAAAATGATGATTTTTTTTTCTTTAGGAATGGGATGTTGATAAAAGCAAACTATTTTAATCTTAGACAAAATCTAGAGTGGTTAATAAAAGCAAATTATACTAATCTTAGACAAAATCTGGAGGTGGTTAACCTGTTTGTCGCTGGAATATGTAAGTTCTGGGTGGGTAGTCAGCATTTGGCAGAGCAAGACTCTTTTGCAAATATCTTATTGAACTTCTTAGCTATTGTCCAAATCCAAATGTCTGGTTTAGCATGCACCATAAACCAACTTTTCTGAAGATAGACCTCTTCTAAATCAGCATTCAGGCCATAGTAGTTCACCCATCATTGTTTGAAAAATACCTTTCTAAATATCATCTCTTACGCTAACTTTTGCCCATTTTCTTGAAGATATCGCTACTAAAGCACACAACATTGGTGCAGAAAGCTGAGTGAAATTCGACAGAATGAGCAGTGAGGTGTTGTACTTGTTCTCTTATAATATCTCTGCGATTAGCATTAGCGGTGTTGTACTTGTTCCAGGACTCAGATTCTCATCTCTGAAAATCGGATTGTCTTTCTTGTCTATCAGGATAGAAACAACTTTTTCCGCCATCCTATTTCTACTTCTCCTTTTACTTGTATCTATCTTCATTTCCTTTTCAACTAAGGGTAGTGACGTTGGCACGAATTTAAGCCATCCAAGAGGCAGCAGCGCATCAAGAAATTCGATGGTACTATCCCAACCGACATACTTGTGTAATCTATTTCACAACTTTGTTGAGTAAAGAAATCCAATATTATCATTCACGAAACCTTTCAAATAAAAAAAAAGGAATGGAATTTTGCTTGCTTTGTAAACTAAAAATCTCATGTTCCTAATCTGCAAACAACCTTTCTTGCGACAAGAGGAAACTAAAAGCTGCGGTTAACTTTAATTTATACCCCTGTTCTATTAGACAAGCATGTTGGAAAACTAATGAACCAAGTCGATTTACGAAAATAATATAATATATATATACTCACAGGAGAGAGAACATCTATGCTATGCAATTCAATAAGACAATAAAAGACCCTTGTATAAATCGTGGTGAAAATCTACTTTCCAAATCAATGTGGGACAAAATCTCATCTTTTTCCCTTCATTTTTCCAACTCGATCAATGGGTCTACTTTGAGAATCAATATATCATTCACCCATTATCCGTTTTGAGTGTACAATATATCAATCTCTTCATCTCACTACGAAGAACCTGAATCCACTTTGACAAGACCCAAATCGAAAGTGGACCCCCCTGATAATTGTACAACAAAATAGCCACTTAAAATGCAATTTTTCCAACAGATTAAAGCATTTGCTTATTGAAGTTCTGATTATCAACAAAAATGCAATTAACTAAATTTTTTGTTGAATTCATAGTTGGAAAAATGTCCAATTTAGCATCTAAGGGTCTTTAGCTCAGTGGCAGAGCATTTGACTGTAGATTAAGAGGTCACCGGTTCAAACCCAGTAGGGCCCTTATGTTGTTCCTAATATTAATTTTATTTATTTATTTTTTAATTTTAAATCATAAAAACACAGCACTCCTTGGCCTAATGAATAAGTCCTACAAACGTTTAAAGATATTAATGTTTAAATTTAATTGCAAAAGCATTGGACTTCGTGGCCCAATGGATAAGGTGTTGGTCTACGAAATCAGAGATTATGGGTTTGATCCCCAGCGGAGTTGTAATTTAAACATTTCTTGCACCACATATTTGTAAGCCAAGAATTCATAAAAAATTGAAGTATTTATTTGTTTTAAAATTAAGAAGTAAAGCATCAAATCAACATTACTACATTA